ATTCTCGCTAAAACATGATAATATTTTTTGCAAAGTGTCGAGAATGCATCTCAAACAATAATCATATAATCAAACATAAAGAGCCATTTGATTATAAATTATTTGAAATTTTCTTCCGATATAAAATGCACTGCTTAAACTTCAATGGCCTAGTCATATTTATACAATATCTTGCGGAATCGAGCAGAAGTTAAATAGTCATAAAATATTAACACCACATTTTTAAATGAGAAATCGATAACTCGTTACTATTTCACTCAAGAAATCACAGCATTACCACTTAAAATACCTAATAACATTTAAACGGGAATTAGCAGTTGAGATTTTATAACTGATTTAGAAGGCAAATTATCGAAGATGCTTAAAATTCCGATTGAAATTTAAAAATTTTAATTACACCAACAGTTTTGTAAAGTAAAAGTCATTTCAATTGTTCAAAGATGAAATGCTGTTGCGATAAGGACATATTTATAGTTTCAAGTAATGAAGTTTTGTTCGATTATCTTTGCGAACTAGCAGCTACTCGATTACTCAGATAAGTATTTTACTATTTCAGCGTCGCTTTAGTTGGAAGGACGAATCGTATCGTATCTCAACTACCGTGGAATTGTAATTTTATCTCCGAATGCATATATGGAAAAGCGTGTAACATCATATAAATCAAGTAACGAGCCTCTGCGCGTGTACCCTGTTAACAAAAACAAAAAAAATTCGAGGGAATAAAGCAAACGCTATGAGAGCCGTTACAAAACAAACGAAAATCGTATAATGATTGTCGTCGTCGTCGTCGTCGTCAAAAAAAAAAAAAAAAAAAAAAAAAAAAAAAAAAAAAAAAAAAAAAAAACCGAGCGAATGAACGAGCGAACGAACGGTCGCGCGATGCAACGATAAAAAGCGTAGCAAAGTATGAGAGGTGCGGGGGATGGGGGTGGAAGAACTCGCGAGAGACCGAAATTAAATTCAACTCAACTCGGCCGTAAAAAATTCTCAGCGACCAAAGCAGCACGATCTGCTGGCCGCGCGTGCGCCACCCAATCGCCAATCGCGCGCTGTAGAAATGAAAAAATAGCGAGCGCGGGAAAGGGAAAAGAGAGGCTGGGACAAAAGACAAACAAATATAAAAAGTAAAAACAAAACAAAAAAACAAACGACGGCTAATGTGAAAGGAGAAAGTAAGCTCATTGGGCAACAACCATGCGGCCTGCTTAAACTTGCTTCGATCTCCAAGTTTTTCAATAAGAATAAGGCAATATAGCCTTGTTGGTTGTGCCGGCAGTAGCGTCGACTTCTCATCCCCACATATACGCGCGTGTTGATACCGCGTGTTCGTGTGTTCGTGTGTGAGTGTGTGAGTGTGTGTGTGCGCGCGAAAGCGGGGCACAGATTTCTAGTTTCAATTTACACATGATCATAGCAGCCGAGGAAAGGAGCGACGAGGAGTGCGAGCGAGGAAAAAGCGAGAGAGAGGCTCGTGTTCCACCGCACGAGCGCCAATAATGAATCTCGATACTCACGTCTCGGAAAATCCAGGGTTATAGTGAGAGGAGGGAAGGGATGGGAAGATGATTTGATAGTGGCACAAACAGACACATGGGCCAAGTGAAAGAGGAGGAGGTGGATGAGGTACGGAGAGGCGAACGATTGCCTGGACTCTCGGATTGATTGCGGACTAGTGGAGGAAGCGGAGACTTAGACAGTCCAGCGCCTCTGCCAGAAATCTATCTCGGTCAAACACCGTTAAATCAAGAAGGCTGAGACCGTGACGGATAGGGAGGAGGGAGGTGGAATGGAAGGGAAGAAAAAATAGAAATTGTGCGAGAAAGCCGAGGCTTGTCCCACTCTACTATTGCCTCTACGCACGATCTCGTACGCCTCTCTCTCTCTCTCTCTCTCTCTCTCTCTCTCTCTCTCTCTCTCGCTCCACATTGCCCATCGCACTTCTTGCCCTCATTTTATCACGTAGGGAGAGAAAAGCTGTAACATCGGAGACTTTATAGTATGTACACAGAGATAGAGGGTCGATGAGAATGAAAAAGTTAGCCAACAGTTTAGCGTCGTTTATCGTAAAATTACGAGCGCAATCGAAAGTCCCATAATTTTATTATGGCATTTCAACGTGTGCGCCCTGCTACTTTAGCTTATGCCTATAAAATATATTTTACTCGGCTAAATGACTTTACTTTGAATTATTACGGGCATTTCAAACGTTCTTTTCTTATCATTGCGAATTTATTGCAAATACAGTATATTGGCATTGAGCGGTGGGGGTGGGTGACGATGGAGGAGGGATCGTGGAGATTAACGGGCTGGTAATTAACGTTGGCATAATATGTCCGGGTCTTGGATGAGATCGCTTTATTTCGTCGTGGAAAGGAGAAAGTATAATAGGTCGATTCGATCTCACGAAATACATAAATAATCACCGAATTGTTTTGGGAAGAAAAATATCGGCTGCTCACTGCTTTACAATAACATAAAATTGAAGTCGCATCTAATAGGGATGCAGCCTCGGCATACGGAATTATCTTTAAAGTTTTTCTATAAAGGAGAGAATTTTCTTTATAGGGAGTCATTAAAAAATATCCCATATAAGGGTATACTTTTATCGTTAGCGCGCTCGGGGCTTTGAATCGTAAATAATTTTCGACTCATAAATGTACAGCCCGTAGTGAAAAAATTTGCCTAAACCAATCGGCAGCAACCATTTTCGCTCTTCGCCAAACCCAGCTCCCCTTAACCAATACAATGCCAAGATCTTCGCCATTGCGCGAAAAAGTACTTTTGCACTCTGGCGTGGCGTAATTTTTAAATTTCATTAAGCCATTGAGTAAGACATTGGTCTTATCATCGGGACGCTCAAGGGCTGCTGCTGCGCCAACAAACTCCCTCCAACGCAGCACTAGTTATAACGTTAACTTTCTCACCCAGAAGTTCATTAGAAACTTCAACGTAGAGTCGTAAGTCGTGAGGTCGGAGCATACGCTTGAAATGTTCGCAGTCGGGATCGTGGCACAGATCAGCGATGTAAGGCTAGAAGGTCAGGGAACCTAAGACTGATTCCTATGAAGCAGCGAGATTAACAGCGATCTACACAGTCTCATCCCGTGGAGTCTGGTTGGCTAATTGTTTGTATTCGGAAGGATATAAAGCATCCTGAAAGGTAAGACTCCGTGGGAAAAGTCCGATAATTTTGCTGCCAACGAGAGAAATTAGGTTGAAGGGTTGAGAATGTCGGTAGAGGCGAGACGGTGTACAACTAGCAGATTTGTGCCAATTCGACACCAATTTTATTTGCATAAAATGGTTGAACTTTTGCGCGAAAGATGGATAGTAAATTTTCGATCGATCTTATCATTAGTGAAATGCATTTGACTATTCGTTATCAATATATGTGTCTTGTCGGCTAGTGTATTTCTTCTCGGGCCACGGCGTTTTCTTCAAAATCAGTCAACGTTCTCGTCATCAAATACATTTACGCACCCACCCGCACACATACAAACTTTGAATCACGTTTATTTATTATATATATATATATTTTTTTTTTTTTGGAAAAGTTTTACAAAAACTAATAGAGCCGATGTAATTTCAAAGCTCTAGAACGTAGTGCAGAAATTATTCGAAATTTCAAAATTTCCTTCATCACCTAGTAAAATAAATTTAATAATTTGTCATTATATTCACGTAATGCCCCAATATATTAAGAGTCATAAAGTGTTTAACGGTTGAAAGCCATAGCGCACGCGTATTTATAACGGTAATGTCAACAATCATTTCATTGTCCATCGACAAGGATAATGCTTTAACTGGAATTTCGAGAAAATAACTAAATAAAAGTAAAAAATAAAAGACAAAGAAAGTCAAAGCTCGATATTTGTGATAATTGCTATGCGAATCTACGCCAGCACATTAGGATTTTCAACGAACGAAAATATTGGCATATTTATTAGCCTAGAGCACTCCTGGCAAATCCATTCCACATGTACGAATTGGATTAAAAGAACTAGGAACTAATTTCACGCTACACGTAGTAAATTGATAACAAGCTCAAATTAACGATACCGCTCTGAATTATCGAAATCTTGAGCTGCAAATTCGAGCGAGTTAATTTACAAGGAACATAATCGATTAAATGGTTGATGGATCCACAAATTCATTGAGCCGCATGCGACAGTTTCCGCTCAGCCAGCACAAGCGACCAGTGAACCGATAACTATTATATCGGCAACTATTTAACCATTATAATTAGCGAAAAATCCGGGAATAATTAAGCCATTGGACGGAGCCGATTAATCGAGGAGATTGTTAATTGTTTTGCGGAGAGATCAGCCGATCGGGAAATCGGCTACACAACTCGGTGACTCGCCACGTAATTCCTGCCTTTTTTCATCCCCGCAGAAGCCCTTTCGCGGCCTATCTCGCCCCCCCCCCCCTCCCCCCTCACCACCCTCACCATCCCTCACCCCCCTCACCACCCTCACCATCCCTCACCATCCCTCATCCCCCTCACCATCCCTCATCCCTAGCCACTCATCCCAAACCTCCCAAACCCTACTACACACTAGCACCGCCATCACCACCAACACCACCACCAGCGCCCAACCCCTCGAGGCGCCACTCCGTCCCTCTCCCCACGATCAGCAGCATCTTTGCCCCGTTATATCTTTGTCCATCGGTTCGTTCTCCTCGTCCTCTCGACCCTATCGGCTTACTCCGGATAGTAGACACAGCGCAAGGGGCGGGAGGATCGAGAGGACGTGGGGGAGGAGATGGGCTGGCCTGGGCTCGCTGACGTAGAGCGACGAGCGGAGCGATCGTTGAGCGGCTTGGAGGGCGGGGGCGACCCGGGGCGTCGGCGTCAGAGTCGGAGGGGATGGGTGGGGTGGGTCGAGGGTCGGTCGGGAGGGGGAATCGAGCGAGGGGTTGACAGGATGCATATAAGCTGCGTCCGACGGGGGCTTTGCAAGCTCTCATTATATAAACGTGATTACATCTGCTTTCAGGCTTTCGCAATGTGGCCTGGAGCACTACCGTTGATAGCGTTACTGGCACTCCTGCTACATCCAGCAAGGTGAGTTTATCGTTGTTGCATGCCACACATACGACCCACGACCCACGCGCACTCCAGGCGCACTCCATGCACCGTGATTTCCCTTTTCCGTTGACGAGTTGGACACGCATTCCGTAGCGAATTTCGATCTATTTGGTCGGAGGAGGAGGAGGAGGAGGAGGAGGAGGAGGAGTTACGGGGCAGTTACGACGACGGCCTACCCAACTAAAGTTTTTTTCCACGAATTTTTCGTGCCCCAGTCATGCTTGGAATTTCCTCGGCACGTTTTCACAAATTCAATGCGCTTCGCTTTTTTAACAAACAATAACATTAAATTTGTCGAACTCTCGCATTCAGTATCATTGTCAAGTGCATAACGGCAAAGATATTTCATGCGATACCCAACAAATTTAAATAGCACACGATTTAGATGAATTTATAAAATGAAACGCTCGTCCATCCAATTATCCTCAGATCCTCGCAATCAGCCTCAATCTCGTACAATCTTCCTACGAATTTATTTCCTACTATGATAGAAACATTTTATTTATGCAAAACTTAAAGGCAATTTCGCGATGAGCAATATTATACGTCAAATTAACATTAAAAAGCATCATCCGTCGAATCATTAAATAATCATATAAATAATTATTAATAGCATTAATATGACTAACTGTTGCATAATTTGTTTACTTTGCACCTGTAGTTATCGAATATACGTACACTCGCGCGCACACATTCAATAATACACGCGCGTGGTGACGTGTGCATGTATTTACGCGCATTTCATTTGTGCCTGAAACTAAACGCTTTAAACAAATTCAACTATATACCGAGCAATATTAATTATTATATAATATATTGCAGTATTATAAAATAAATGAAGCAAATGAAAAATTCTTAATAAGTCATGTGAAAAAGATTTTTCTCATGTAATTATTTGATGGGTATTTTAGTTGAATTCAACTTTTGTTGAACAAAATTTTTAATATCACATGTTTAATTCACAATGTTTCAACAATGTTTACAATTTAATTTCTACGATATTATTGTTTAATAATATGTCATAGTTATGCAATAATACATGATAATTATAAAATAACGTTCGAATTAATATTTCAATGATGTTGTTTACCATAAATTTACCATAATAAAGTATACTACTCCAAACAAAGTTTTGTGAAACATTTTTATCGCGCAAAATCTGCTGTACATCTTTAATGTGAAAACATTGACTTTTATAATGTATGCGAATTATGCACAATAATTATTTGCATATTTATACGTATATTATTTGACTTTTATCATAAAAGTTCAAGTATTCTGCATACATTTGATGATAGTAACTTCTGCTTATACAGTCAAGCATATATATATATATTAATTTATAAACTATAATATTATTTACTATTCTTTTCACTTTTATACTATTTCTGTTGATAATTTTTAATTCTTACGGTCACTGGTTTTACCTTTTATATTCATTTTTTTTCTCTTTTTTTTTTTTTTTAACTTTCTTCTTAAAAAAAAAGCTGCCTTTGATTTGCAGTCAAGCTTTCATAAAAGACATACATAAAGAAATCTGTCATGTCAAAAGAGATTAAATATTCTACTCTATCGTAAACTGATTAAAGAAAATGAATTCATTTCGTTTATAAAACTAATTAAAAGTGGGATAAAAGAATCCAAGTTGTTACACCTCCATTTTGTTGGAAGGCAAATTATTCCATTTTACAATTATTACTTTTTTTTTCTTCTTCTAATTATTTTTTTAATTTTACTATCGGTCATTATTTAGTATTAAATTATTTGAATTCGTGATAATTTTTTTTTTCTTTTACAAAAGTTTCACCTAATTACGAAATTCGCTTGTCTTTTATAAAAAAAAAAAAAGAAAAAAAGAAAAAAAGACAATTAAATAGAAAATAAAAAATAAAACGATATATTCCGTACGTGTTTTGTCACGAAGTTTCTTAAGATACAGGATAATGAAAGCCTTTGAATCTCGTGACAGTTATAAAACAATAGAAACAATAGGGAAAATTAACTATGGGAAACATTTTATTTCATTAAAATTAATTGTTTACAAATTGTTAAAAGCAGCCTTTATATTTTTTGAGTGGGTATTTTGCCTTGAATAGCATCTTTTATAAATTTCAATTTTATCTCGCAATACTAATATAATTGTCGATATGTGTTTATGTTATTGTTAATGTGAAGTTACTTTTGTAGATATCAATTTTATTTTCAGCGTTCCGTTCATTATATTAACAAAATCAGCTAATATGAATTTGTTTTTAACGTATATGAATAGAATGAAGTAAAATAATTCATTCTAATATTTAATATTCAATGCTTTTGTATATTTTTGTATTAAATTGTCATGTAATGAAAGTACGAGAGTTAGTTAGTTTTCAGTATTCATAAAATGTAAAATAAATTTAATATAAAGGTGATACGCTATTTCTTTATACTAAATTAAATATATTTCGAGGCATTTAATTATTAATGCAATTTAGATCTTCCAAATAGCACGAATTTTCAAATTTCAAATATCAATTTGAAATTTTACGTTCACATTTGAATTTCATTGTTTTACTAAGGTAATAAAACTTTCAAATTTCGTCCCCATAATTTTTTTTGTTTTTGTTTTTGTTTTCTTTTTTTTTTTTAACAGAAAAAAGACAATAACAGAGATAATAGCAGAAAGTAGATTCTATTTTGAGAATTATCGCAAGAATTATGGAATAAATACAAGTTTCATTAGTCTAATCAAATGTATGTAAAAGAAAATTGATATTTTGCTATTAATTAAGGATTATTGAGATACTTATAACTAAATAGTAAATGCAATTATAGAAAATAAGGATGAATTTCGTTTCGATCTTATGCACGAAACGAAGAAACTATTCGACAATAATAAAATTAACTTAAGAAAATGCATTATTACATGATATTCTGTATGATATTTATCTAATTATTTATTTTTTAGTTAATTATTTCTTAATAGGTAGTAATAAAAAAATAAGTTAAGTTTTTCTAACTTTTAAAATTAAATATACCATACCAATTGTATAACACATGTAAAATTAAAATTAAGTAATAATGAAAAAAAAAGAAGTTTTTTAATATGAAGTCTAAAACTTTACTACAAACGCATTACTTCTATTGTCATAATTTAAGCTAATCATAATATATTATATTTTATCAATAATTTGATTATTTAATTACAAAATACATAGTCGTTATTTGTACCAAATTGCATGTCGCCTTTGGCACAAATGTTGAAAATTGATTAATATTAGTATTAATTTTTTATGTTTCTTCAATTTTTATGAAAAATGTAATGATAACAAATTTCACATAAGAATCCCATTATTAGAAGATTTTCATTTTCTCAACTATGAGCGTTCTCTTATTCACTCATTTTTATTACCGGGCATTTTCACAAAAGCTATAAGTTAAAAGATCTAAATTAAAGATGAATGGGCTTTGAAAAGTAGGATTTTTTTTCATTAAGCTGCCAGCTCTTAAATATAAATTTCATGAGTAGAACAAAGCGCATTACATAATAAAACATTTGAATAATATGTGAAATTATTTTCATTCCGATCGAACGAGCCGGATAGGTAGAAAAATACTCGAGGCTTTTCGATTTCCGGCTTGGGGGTCGGTACCGGGTGGTGTAGATCGCGGCCGCGTGCACATTTTCTGATTCACGATTAGAGGAAACTAAGGTTAGAGCGAGACGGTTAGATATCTCGACGGTTAGCGTGCGAGTAACCTCATGGCATGTTATCATTAAATTTTGAGCGTTACGAAAAGTGAATTGAAATGCCAATGAACGGAGGCCAAATTTCTTGCATACGATTTGCTTTTGATCCATGGCTAAGCGTTGCTAAGACGTAAAAAATTAATTTTACTCGGATATCTGGATTAATTCGAGGTCATGGTAATGTTATTTCCCTTGCTTTAGCGAACATCATAATTTAGGCTACAATGTCGCGTCTCGATCTATTCCCTTTTATTATTATATTATAATTTATATGCTGATTAATAATGTTAATAATGTAAGGAAAATATGCAAGGCAATATATATTTTCTTTACATTATTCAATAATCCACGATAAATCAATTGTCTAAATTAAAAAGCCTCTGCTCGTCTCAGTCTTACTATTTCACAAATATTATCGATTAATTTATCGATTATTTTGTACGAACTTTGTATTCAATATAACCTTTATGGCTCGTTTTTTTTTTGTTTTTTTTTCTTGTTTTTTTGTTTGTTTTTTTTCTTTTTTTTTAATAGTTAATAAATATTCTCAGAAGTAGATTTGATAGCTTTGAAATTTATGGCAGGTTGGAAATGGCCATCTATCTTCAAATATATTATCCTACAAACGTATTATAATAAATATTTAAAATCGTTCAGCACTAATTTTCTATCACGATAACGGGGATCCGTTTTTATCTAATATCGATCGAAAAGTCTTTTTGTAAAAAATAATCTTACGCATTATTTTCAGTCGCTGTGTACTTGATTTCACTCGAACAGTCTTTTCACGATGCAGTATTCTGCGTCGAAAGAAAAGTATCAACTGACCAGTGCCAATATAAATTACAGTCGCAATTATAATAAATTATGTAGTACTGTCTGTGTACATGGGCGGTTTACAAGTAATTCAAAAGAACATCTGTTTCACATACACAAGTCCGGCGAATTTATAACCTTGCAACTAGTATTATTACAATGTTGGCTAGAAGAAAGAAAAAAAAAGAAAAAGCAAAAGAAAAGCAAAACAGCAATACACACGCATCGGCGTGAAACGAAAGAAAGCCATTTGGCAAAGTGGTTATCCGGAACGATATATATTTTCACGTTTAAGTACCACGCTTGTCCTTTCAAGAATTTAGAGAGTGAGAGAGACAGGGAGACAGATAGAGAGAATAAGTGATATAGTGAAAGCTCAGTCCTCGCTCGCTCTCACCAGTTCAACTTTTCCGATTACCGAGGGTAACAG